GAAAGAGACACCTACCTCTCTCTCCCCTCCAACACTTATCCCTCATTCGTGACTTTCTCTTCTCCACTTGACTTAATTCCATCCGATGTGACTTTCTCATCTTCCACATTTTTCCTATTTCAAATAGCCTTTTAAGATATCTTCCCAATATAAAACTCATATAAAATCTATAAGTGGTAAACAATTCCCCAAAAACATCTAATTTCCCTCCATAATTCCAGCAAATTAATCTGATCGAACAGTGATCAGCGCCTACAATACTGTAGCCGTTGCCTGCCAGCTGGTCTGCCAGGCTCGAACGAGAGCTCCCATCCCCTGCTAGAACCCTGCCACTCTCTCCTACTGTCTGCACCGAGTAGCAAGTGAAGTAGCCCATTCCCCTGCCGATCCCATCAACCGCCTGCACCGAGCAGCAAATTGATTGTCCGAACCCATGACTTGACACTTTGATCACCCATTTCCAGATTTTACTATATTGAAAATATCTTCTAAAGTAACTTAGTTCAAACACAAACCAAGCCAAACTTTCTCCCTTAACTTCTTGTTTAGCATAACCGAACCACCCCAAATCCTTGTTATACTTCCGAACAGCAACTGTAGCAATCAAGAAACTTCCTCTATACTTTTCAGCAACACCCCAACTGATTATGGAAGGCCAGCTTCGATAATCTTCTTCAAACTCAATGTCTGAGCTAACTGAAATTTCCGGCACCGAACTCCTCCCTAGACCTTTATCAATATCCAATTTTCCCATAGCACTCATACTTCCAGACCAAACCCACTTCTTATACCTTCTTTCCCCAACTTCCTCGAGCACCACCTTCCAAACTTTCCAATCTTGCAACATCTCTAGATCAACCATTCCTCTCTCTTTATCAATCCATCTGCTACTTACCTTAAGAAGATCCTGCAATACATAAAACACGATAGAAACCCTATAATGAAAACAAAGAATAGCTTTTACCTTCAACTTCTCTTGCTGAAGACGAACACCGAGAATGACACAAATATTCAGAATAGCATTCAAAGCCTAATGACCTAAGATTTTGACAACTAAACAACCGGATTTTAAGAAACCGTAACCGTTTTGAGCTCCAAAAATGGAACTCTACAACCGGGGGACCATGAGAAACCATGGACGAAACCTTAGAGACCTACCAAAGACCAAACTCGGAGAAGGCTACCAGTAGACATTGAAATGTCTGAAACGAGGACACTTTCTCCATCGATATTTCGAAAAATTCGAATGTGTGAAATGTGTCTATGTCAATATAGTTCAAATGAGATGTAGGTTGGTAGTTCCACCAATTCTCGTTACATGGCATGGAGCATTGGATTGGTCATCATCTTTGGAAGCCATCGGTTCCCGCCTTCATTCAACTCACCATAAACAACAGACGAAGAAGTGAGCTACTACAGATGACCCTTCTCTATGTTATCATCAAATTTCAGATCTCTGCATTCCATTTCTAAGCCACTCTTAAACCCTTCTCCCCTTTCTTCATCTTGTTCCTCTCTTCACACTCGTTAGCTTCCTCATTTCAAAGGAAAAAGGCCCTCCACCAACTGTAACAAAACATCCGCTTCGTTCCCCCATAACCCACTTCTCTCAATCCTAGAGAAATGCAAATGCTTGCCCCAACTAAAACAAATCCAAGCCCAAATGACAATCAATGGCTTAATGCCTGATTGGTTCTTTTCCAGCCGCCTTATCGCCTTCTGCGCCTTGTCAGAACACAAAAATCTTGACCATTGCTTCAAAATTCTCTACAGTCTGCAAAACCCAAATGTTTTTTCATGGAATGTTACTATTAGAGGCTGGACAGAGAGTGAAAACCCCATCGAAGCTATTTTTGTTTATAAGCGGATGCTTAGGAATAATGGGTGTACTAGGCCGGATAATTATACTTACCCTTCTTTGCTTAAAGTTTGCTCCTTTTTGATGTTGAAATTTTTGGGGTTTGAAATTCTTGGCCATGTTCTGAAATTGGGTTTTGAGGCAGATATGTATGTTCACAATGGGGTGATTCACTTTTTGGTTTCATCTGGAGAATTAGAGTTTGCATCTAAGGTGTTTGATGAAAGGTGTGTTAGAGATTTGGTTTCTTGGAATTCTTTGATTAATGGCTATGTTAGGAGTGGGAGAGCGAAGGAGGCAATAGGACTTTATAGGAAAATGCAAGAGGAGCGAGTCGAGCCTGATCAGGTGACAATGATTGGGATAGTTTCTTCATGTGCACAGTTGGAAGATTTGAAACTAGGGAGAGATTTTCATAAGTATACTGAAGATCATGGGTTGAATTTGACAGTCCCACTGTCTAACGCACTCATGGACATGTATATTAAGTGTGGGAGTCTTGAGAGAGCACAAAGGATATTCGATAACATGGAGAAGAAAACGATTGTTTCTTGTACTACAATGATCGTTGGATATACTAGATTTGGGCTTTTGGATGCTGCTAGGAAGCTTTTAGTCGAGATGTATGAGAAGGACGTTGTACCATGGAATGCGATAATCGGGGGTTGCGTTCAAGCCAAACGTAGTAAGGAGGCTTTGTCTTTGTTTCATGAAATGCAGGATGGCGGAATAGATCCTGATGAGGTTACCATGGTTCATTGTTTATCTGCATGCTCACAACTTGGAGCCCTAGATATAGGAATTTGGATTCATCATTATATCGAAAAGAACAGATTTCATTTAAATGTCGTGTCGGGGACTGCTTTAGTTGACATGTATGCTAAGTGTGGTGGCGGAATAGATCCTGATGAGGTTACCATGGTTCATTGTTTATCTGCATGCTCACAACTTGGAGCCCTAGATATAGGAATTTGGATTCATCATTATATCGAAAAGAACAGATTTCATTTAAATGTCGTGTCGGGGACTGCTTTAGTTGACATGTATGCTAAGTGTGGGAACATCACAAAGGCTCTTCAGGTTTTCCATGAAATGCCATCTAGGAATTCTTTGACTTGGACATCAATTATTGGAGGTTTGGCTCTTCACGGAAATGCAAATGACGCCCTGTCTTATTTCTCAGAGATGATTGAAGTTGGTTTGAGGCCAGATGAGGTTACCTTTCTCGGGGTTTTGTCAGCTTGTTGTCACGGTGGTTTGGTGGAAGAGGGTCGTAAATGCTTCTCCCAGATGACATCTAAGTTCAGTCTGGCCCCTCAGCTTAAGCACTATTCGTGTATGGTGGACCTTTTCGGTAGGGCTGGGCTTTTGGATGAAGCCGAAGATCTTCAAGAGCATGAAAATTGAGCCTGATGCTGTGGTGTGGGGATCATTGTTCTTCGCATGTTGAATGCATGGAAATTTTCTAATGGGAGAAAGAGCCGCTTTAAAACTTCTCAAACTGGACCCTCATGATAGTGGCATTTATGTACTGCTTGCCAATATGTATGGGGATGCAAATATGTGGGAGGAAGCAGGGAAAGTTAGGAAGATGATGAAAGAAAGGGGAGTAGAGAAGACCCCTGGTTGTAGCTCAATCGAGGTCAAAGGAACTGTTTATGAGTTCATTGTTAGAGATAAGTCTCACCCTGAATCGGAACAGATATACAATTGCTTAATTCAGCTAACACGACAATCGGAGTTCTCCGAATTTACGTGTACTCTTCCTAAATATTACACTGACTTCCTCTTAGGCTTTGGAACCTGAAACCCCTAGGCCTGATTCCATGGAGATTATTAAATGAAGGCCTGCTAGACCGGAGGTATATCAAAGACATTCTTTAATTGCTATGGTTTTCAAGACTCAGTGGCAGAATGCTTTCCAAATGCCAAATCCTTATATTTTGGATCGAGTATATTTTGGTTGGAGCAGCTTTTTCTTTCTTCAAACTGGTATCATTTTTGCAATGTTCCCGATACTTGTTCATAGTTGTGATGAAACTTTTTTGCAATATTTGGATCAGCCATTTTTTTATTAAGTAAATATATATTACATCCTAAGTCAAATGTCGAGATTCGAACTCACACAAGGTAAGACAATATGAAAATGCTTGATCACTCGATCAATTAATAAATCTATGATGATTCACTTAATTTAAAAAATCTTGCGACGAGAACAACTATGACGTTCACATCAAGGGAAATTAAATCTGGTTGGTGGGGCTCGAATCCATGCCCAATAATGTCCTATATGCCTTGGGACATTAGGTAAATACACGGCATATATTTAATGTTGGTCGTGCCTCTAGATTGAGAGTGAATTTGTTTGACATGTCTAATGCTTCTTGATCTATGTATGTATTTTAAGAGTAAAATATTTTAAAATTATAATTTGTATGTTTATGGAGATGACCTCTAGAAATATTTAAGTTTTAATTAGGTGAGACTTGCTGAAGCTACCAGCACTCCATCAGCCAAGTTCTTCGGACTTATCTCTCCAATTATCAGTCAACTATGATACATAGAACAAAATCTTCAACAAACCTATGTGACATAATCAAAACTTAATATGAGATCTGTCAATTAATTATGTCTAACTCATTAGTTTGTATAGTCATAATGACTCTATGACTAATATATTACTATAAATAAGATGAATCTTTTACAATCACGATCGACCATTCTTGAATTTTTTTATTTTCATGGTGATTCATTATCTTCTTCATTCAAACACTAGTCATTCATCGTTTTATTACTAGACGTATTGTTCTATCCAAATTAAAAAGTGAGCCATCATCGACCGGCAAAATAAACTTGTAATCATCAACCTAATCAAATTGATTTGATATAGAAATATTAAAGATTAAAATTATTATTGTCATTATTTTTTAAAAAAATAAGGGTGAATAATATAAAATTGATAAATTTTTAATCTGAAAAAACTGTAGCTCATGCTTAAGCATACGTGGCATTGGAGTAGCCATATCTTATTTGGCGACCTGTAAACTTGTCCATCTCATACACAAAATACTTGTGAATGCTGCTTTGCTCTCTACAACAACCACATATGGTGTTGTAGGAATCAAACAAATCCTTCTTCTCCAGATCACACCAATGAAGCTCCCGTTGAACCCCAAAACACAATGAAGCCCCACCTCCACATCCTCACCTCTAATTTTAACCCCTCACCTCCACCTCACCTCCTACTACGACGCCGTCCACTTCCCTCTCCCCGCCTCCTCACCGCATCTCTCTCCGATCACAATGCTCGCCGCCGCCTCTCCTTCGTCGAATATTCCCTCGCTCGACGCTCCGTCGTACTCACTCCCCTCCTCGCCGCCGTCGGCTCTTCGCTCCTACAACAATCGCAGTCGTTGGCCGCGGAGGTAACCTCATCTCCCCCGCCGGTCACTTCGCCTCCTCCTACTAAGGTGGTGGAAGAGGAAGCGGTTGTTTTGGCGAGGATATACGACGCGACGGCAATAGGGGAGCCGTCGGCGTTGGGGAAAGATAGAAGAAGTATGGGAGAAGCTGATGAATGCCAGGATGTTTATTAGGAGAAGCTGAGCAAGTTCCGATTACTGATGATAAAGAATTGGAGCTTGAGATTGTTAAGAATTTGAAAAGACGATGCGTTGAGAGCGAGAGGCCGTTGGCTCTGGCTCTCGAAGCTTTTCCTTCTGATTTACAAAGTCAACTCAATCAGTTTATGGCTAAAAGGTTGCTTTCTATTGCAATAAATTATGTTTCTAAAATATCTAATATTTATACTATTGTAAAATCAAATTAGTTCTGCATATTTTCATAACTTCTTATACGATTTATATTTATTTAATCCAACAATCATATTCATGTTCTATTCTGCTAGATGTTTACATGTAGAGTTTCAAGTAAATTTGATTTTTCCAATTATTCATTGAATGTAAAATTTCAATTGTCAAATATAAATTGGAAAAATTGTATTCTCTATCCATATGATAGACATATTGGATTGAATCAAAATAGTATGTGCAGCACAATGAGTAGTTTACATTGCTAACTCTAATGGTTGGATCAAACAAATGTGCGTGTGTATATATTGTTAAAAATAGAAAATGCGTATAAACATGCACATTATTTGACATTGGTGTATATATTGTTAAAAATAGAAAACAAAAATGTATTACAACAAAGAAATTGGAATGACTTTATTTAAGTGTTCAATTCCTTCTAATTTTGAGAGCTATGTTGTTGACAGGATAGATGGAGAGGAACTGAAATCTTATGTTTCACATTGGCCAACTCAAAGGTGGCAGGAGTATGAGCCCATTTTAAATTACTGTCGGGATAATGAAGTTCGCCTTGTTTCTTGTGGAACTCCTTTAAAGGTACTTTTAAGTCGTCACTTAGTCATTGGGGATTTTTTACTGCCCATTCTGTTTGCATTGAGTACGCCATCATCCTTTCTTTGTCAACTTGTTGCTTCATCACTCTACTGGGCTTTTTGAAAAAGCTGATTTCTATAATTTGACTTCTTTTGGGGTGTCTAAAAGCCTAGAATGGATTGTTAACTTGTTGTAATAGATCTTATTAGTTGTATAATGTTTAGAAGACTTGATTTTTTAATTAGGTTGGGTTACTTTGGACGGAGAGGGTAAGATATATTCTTGGATGTAATCCAAGATACTTGTGGTGTCATATGTAAAAAGAAAGAAAAAGAACTGTTTTAGTTTCATATAAATTTTATTTTATCATTTGTGCATAAGGCCAATAGTAAAGTCAAATAGAGTATTCTAATTATTTTGACGCAGATCGTAAGGACTGTGCAAGCTGAAGGCATTCGTGGCCTCTCTAAGGATGAGCGCAAGGCATATGCTCCTCCAGCTGGTTCAGGTTTCATCTCAGGGTTTAGTTCTATTTCACGCAGATCATCAATGGATAATCATTTCCCAACTCAGTCGATTCCATTTGGTCCAAGTTCATATTTATCTGCACAAGCAAGAGTGGTTGAGGATATACATGTCCCAAATTATTTTGAAAGAAGTTTCAGATGGAGGTGGTACAGGTTTGTTATAGTCGTGACTGGTGCAAACCATGTCCAATTTGGTTCTAGAGGGACAGGGGTGCCTGCCAGAATTTCTAATAAGATTCAGAAAAAGAACCAAGTGGCTATACTTCTTAATCCTGAAAGGCAGTACATAAGAAGAGAAGGAGATGTCCCTGTTGCTGATTTCTTGTGGTATTCTGCAGCCAGACCATGCAGTAGAAACTGTTTTGATCGTGCTGAAATTGCTCGAGTTATGAATGCAGCTGGCAGGCAGCGAAATGCCCTGCCCCAGGTTAGTTGTGCTTAAATCTTTATGGTATCAGTGCGTGTTTTATCTCCTTGATTTTTATTTAGTTTTTCTTTGGATGCATTGGTGGATCTTTTTTTTCCTGTGAATTTTAATAAGCGATTTGTGCTTAAACTTCATCCCTCCTTCAATTCTGTTCTTTTAACAAATTTTTACTCGTATCTTTTTTTTAAAGTTGTGGTTCAAAAGCAAATCTCAATGTTTGCAAACTTTTATGCTGAAGAGACAGAATCACATGAGCAGATGCACACTTTTAACTTCATAGATTTTAATATTTGTCAGTTTAAACAAGTATGAAATTTTGAATGATACTATTTTGCGTATATTTTTTAAGAAAAGAAAGCTTACCATTATTTTTAAGGAAAAGTAGTGTGACTATGTTTTGCGTCCAAAATCAGTATGGTTCAACTCCTTCTGGAGCATCCATATGTTTCAGAAGTATAGTATTTGAAATGACTACTTTCCTATATATTTCTACCAGGTACTCGGAAATGTTTTTGGAGTTTGAGGTTTTGGCTTGTTAGATAAATTGAGTCAACAATCTAAGAAGTAAAATGATATTTTACTGCAAGGATGTGAATGAGTCAACAATAAATTGAGTTCCCTGAAACATTCGCTTAGTTTATTATGCTTTTAAAAGTGAAATGATATTTTACAAGCCTTGTGGTTCAGCTAACAAGTAAAAATTGTCGTTTCCCTATAATATTAGTTCCTTGGATATGCAGATACTACATCTCATTTGATATGGTTGATTGCAATCTAAGAACCACAGTTCTGCAAGTAATTTTATTATTGTCTTGGTTGCTGCCTAGAATATTTCCATGCAATTATTGTATGCTTATGGTATGTTTAGTACCTTGACATGGTATCTTTGTCAGATTTCTCTTTCGATTTCCTCTTCTCCTACTGTATTGTTTGTTTATTATAAAATTATCTTGTAACTAATTACTAAGGAAAAAACTCTCCTCTGCTCGTGAAGATTAATTGTGAAAAAATATTGTAACAGGATCTTCAAAAAGGACTTGACCTTGGTTTAGTATCTCCAGAGGTCCTGCAGAACTTTTTTGATCTGGAGCAATATCCTCTTATTTCAGAGCTTACACACCGTTTCCAGGTATATTCACTTTCTCAAAATGGAATTTATTGTAATTATGTAATAGTTTCTGTAGACTAGTGTTGTCATGGTTTATTATACAAAATTCACGTTCTCTGAAGATGATACTTTTATGTGATTGTTTAGTGTGAAGGGTACAATAATCACTTACAACATTGTTGAAAGGTTATCAAGCTGACCACAGAAAATTTTGTTACAGGGATTCAGGGAAAGATTGTTAGCAGATCCCAAGTTCTTGCATAGACTAGCTATAGAAGAAGCTATATCAATAACAACTACTCTCCTGGCACAGTATGAGAGGCGTAAAGAAAATTTCTTTGAAGAGCTTGACTATGTTATTACAGACACTCTCCGAGGAATAGTTGTTGATTTCTTTACCGTATGGCTTCCTGCCCCAACTATCTCATTCCTCTCATATTCTAATGGAGCTGACAACATGGATGCGTTGAAAGGACTCCTTGGTTCAATACCTGATAATGCATTTCAGAAGAATGTTGCAGGAAAGGATTGGAATCTCATTCACAGGTTAGCATCTGTGATTGTTGGTGGTCTAAAACTGGCTAGTGTTGGATTTATTTCCAGTATAGGAGCTGTGGCTTCCTCGAATATTTTGTATTCAGCTCGCAAAGTCCTTAATCCAAAGTTGGTTTCTAACCAACAAATTAAAAGATCACCGATACTCAAAACAGCTCTTATCTATGGAGGCTTTCTAGGGACATCTGCAAATCTTCGTTATCAGGTAAGAATGGTTCAGCTGTGTCAATAACTTGCTTTATCATAAGAAAAAAAACATTTTGGCATATTTTGGACCTATCAACATAGATTATGGCATTTATTAGTGATAATTTAGTGATTCCGTCATCCACCCTATGATTATGTAAAGTAGACATCGATATCTGTTGTATAGGTTGCAAAAGAATATTTAGTGATAATTCTGGCTCCTCTGGTTTAGACCTGGACTCACACTGACCTCTCTCAATTTTAGTGATCCATATTTGTACTTACAGTTTTGCCTACTATCTGTTTGATATGAAATTAAAAGAAAGTGAAAAATTGCAGATTATTGCCGGAATAGTGGAGCACCGGATTTCGGAACAATTTTCTTCTCAAACCTTTCTTGTGAATATGCTTTCGTTTGTTGCTCGGACCGTCAATTCTTACTGGGGAACTCAGGTTAGAACCGTCTTCATTTAGGTATTTTCATTTCATTAGTATTATTAATCTTAATGTCCACTGTTATGTTAATAATTTGAACATGAACTGCATGGCTTACATTGAGAGAGCATTCATTATAGCAGCTTTGCCCTCTAGCAAGTCGTGTAGGTCTAGAACATTAATATATTTTTGTTGCCCGACTTGAATGCAACAGCAATGGGTTGATCTCGCTCGCTTCTCGGGATTGCAAAGTCGGAAGAACGAAGAATCTTCTTACCAGACTTCAGATTCTCCTAATCCGACTGCACTAGAATGCAGCGCAGGAGAAGAGGCCAATATCGATGAATTCAAGAATCAGTGAGGTGAATTTGTATCTTACGTTGTCATTTTAATCCGTAACTTATCTTTGCCTTATGCCCCTCAGAACCACAGTACACACAAACAAATCCTGAAATACATATTCTTTAAAATTTTGGACGACGACGAGGATGCTGCAAACACATTACGTGTACATTGATTCAGCTTCGCTTGAAATCATGCAATAAGAGAATGTTACGGTTTCATCCTTGATTTTGAGACGTTTTCTCCAGAACAAGATAGGTTGAATTTAAAAGCTCATTTGTATATGAAATTCGTGTTGTGTAGTAGATTTTGGCATCAAGACGCTTTCATCGTTGAATCTTCTTCTGGCTCGCCACACTCCAAGCAGACGTGCTTGGTCGGTCAACAGCTAAATTCAGCATACCTATGCCCCTTGTTTATCAAAGAAACATTTTTAACTTCTAAAATCTGAAGTTAAGATGTGGAGAAGGGCAAAAACAACTAATGAATAATAATAAGCATATAAATTCACTTCATGAAATTTCAACGACTATGGAGCCGAAGCAATTTAACATTTCACAAACAATAGGAAACATAAATAATAAGCAGCGTTCAAAATGTACGCTCTTGTAGGAGAAGAACAGTGACCGAAAACTCCTATAGGCGAATGCAGGAGCGAAAACTCCTATAGGCGAAATGCAGGAGCCATTAAACCTATCGTGGTGGTCGTTAAAGACCGGCTTAAGTCCCTAAGAAGAATATGCATGGGAAGCAGACCATTGAGAGAGTTTGTCAGTGAAGTTGGATCAGTTCCTGACGGATTCAGAGAAAAGGTGGCGCAAACAATATATGAGTTCAGAAGAATAATACCACCTTATCATTGAAAAAAAACCAAACCAGCAGTTATGTTTAGTTTTTAATGGCGGGTGACTAAACACAACGTTATGTATAGTTTTGAAAAAAAAAATAGTTAAGTGATTAAAACGGAACTAGAAAATATATAGATGACTAAATACATGGTTTACCCAAATAATCTTAGGTTTTAGTCGAGTATGGACTGAATATCAAAGTCGGTGTCAGAGAATCCATGGATTTAGTAAAATGATAAGAAAACCCATTAAGATTGATTTTGTCGATGGGGACTGGTAGTAGCCGCCCATAACTTTTGGTGAATTATGGCGACGATAACAGCACCACAACAGCACCACCATCCAACATCACTAGAGGAAGTCCGTACGCTTTGGATAGGAGATGTTCAGTCTTGGGTCGACGAGTCTTACCTCAACTCTTGCTTTGCACACACCGGCGAGGTTCCCAACATCTTTCTTTATCTCTAAATCATTCTGCGTTTTGTTCTTTCTGGTATTTGAATTAATCATTTTTTTACTATTTTGAATCTTATACTATACGTTGACAGTGAGGTTGATGAAGTATTAGTTTTTGTCATGTTCTTAAGATTCTTTGTTTTAAAGGAATACTATAAATCGATGTAATTTCCTATCAATAAATCGGTGTAATTTCCTATTAATAATCGTGTTCGATAACAATTCTATCAAATTATTGTAATTTAGTTGTGAAATCAAGAAGCTAAGAGTTGCCATTTATGCTTCAAAATTCTAACTTGAAAATATTTTAATTGTAATGGCACTAGAGGATCATGTATAAGAATCCCCCGAATCCACAAAGAAGGAACGAGAACATACATTTGAAAAGAGATGTGACAAGAACTGAATAGGGATTTTAGGGTGTGAAAGCAATTTGGTTGCTACTGAAAATGCTAGGGGACAATAGAGAGGTTTGTAATAACCAACACATTAATCATCCCAACTTGCTTTCTGCTTCGAGTATTTTCAATGAGCACACAGAAATGTATGTTAAGAATCTAACTAGTGCTTGGCGGATGATAGTGGAAGATTAAGAGGAGCTCTACTAGATTGTTGAATGTAGCTCGAATCTCCCTTGTTATACACACCCATTGTCAATGCAAGCTATTACAAAAGCTCTTGGAACTCTGTGGAACCTTTTGAGCAATAATTTGGTGAAGTTAAAGGTCAAGTAGCATCAGATGTTTTCGTATGACAATTTTTTCATATTCTATTTGTTTCCTTCTTTAAACTTGATCATTGTGGGCCTTCTAATAGATTCTGGGTTTGAAATGAACTATTATATTCACTCTCTGCAGCTAGTCTCAATAAAAATTATACGCAACAAGATCACTGGCCAGCCTGAGGGATATGGGTTTGTGGAGTTTGTTTCTCATCAAGCAGCAGAAAGGATACTTCAGAGTTACCATGGTACACCGGTGCCTGGAACTGATCAAATGTTTAGGTTAAATTGGGCATCCTTTGGCACTGGTGAAAGACGAACTGACCCTGGGCCTGAGCATTCTATTTTTGTTGGGGATTTGGCACCAGTTGTTACAGATTATCTATTGCAAGAGACCTTTCGTGCTCACTATCCATCTGTTAGAAGTGCCAAGGTTGTGATTGATCCAAGTACTGGACACTCAAAGAGTTATGGCTTTGTTAAATTTGCTGATGAGATGGAGAGAAATCGTGCTATGACTGAGATGAATGGTGTCTATTGCTCAACTAGAGCTATGCGTATTAGTGCAGCAACACCAAAGAAGAGCACTGCTGGTTTTCAGCAGCAATATGCTGTCGCAAAAGGTCATTCCTTTGATTAACTTTTTTCTGAAAGAAAACCATTGCAAGATTTATTATTTTCTTACTTGCTTCCAAAACCATGGCATCCTTCTGTTTTGTCCATACATTTTTCGCTATTTTGAGAATATTAGTATCCAACTCTATACATGTATACATACATACTTATGCATATACCAATATATATCACCAATCTGTTTATCGATAAAATAAGGCATACTACAATTCTTTCCTTTTTCATGGCAATTTAGATTTGTTGAATTATTTACTGTTTTGTCAGTTTGGTTGAGATGTGAACATAACATGTACATTTAGGGATGGCAATGGAGCAGGGGGTGGATGTTTCCAAATTCATCACCCCTCCATAGTTGGCATGCTTTGCCCCACCACCATCATGTTCTACTATGAATGTGTAATCTTAAAACCACTACCACCTCCACGGATGTTGGATACATCCATCCCTGAGCCACCTCTATTTGATTTTTGCTAGTTAATTCTAATAATTTAAAAAATTTAGTAAATTAAATATATAAGCATAATTTTTCAATTTTTTTCACAATTGTCTAAACATAAAAGAATTTAGTGTTTTTGTATTACTTTCACATTTTTATCATTTTAATAGTTATATATGTATAAAGGTAAAATGATAATTTCATATAGCGGGCGAGGTGGAGCGGGCCAAGCAATTATCACAACCGCTTGATACCTACTGTCTTAAAAAAATCTACCCCACCCTACACCTCTTGAATCCAGCAGACAGTTTGGGTTTTTCCATCCATATGCATACTTGTTTGGGGTGGATGTGCTAAGGAATTGGGTACTTTTGCTAATATTTGTCTGTGCATTGATCTTTGATACTTTAGCCATATTAGATATTGGGTATATGTATGTAAACTTATGCTGACATATGAGGGGTAGAAGTTCTAAAATACGTTTACCCTGGTTTTTATCCAGCTGTATATCCAGTTCCAACTTACACAACTCCTGCGCAAGTGCTTCCACCTGATAATGAGAATGCTAATACCACAGTAAGTGAGGTATACTTGAGTTATTTTAGAAATTATCTCTCATCATTTCGACTAACTATCATACTTTTTTGAAGATTTTTGTTGGCAACTTGGATCCAAATGTTACAGAAGAGGAATTGAAGCAATTTTTTTCAACAGTAGGAGAGATTGTCTATGCCAAGATTCCTGCAGCAAAAGGGTGTGGTTTTGTACAGTTTGCAACCAGGTAAAACCAACTCTAACCATGATTACATTAATTTTCTTGAACTGTTTTCCACTTTTTTTTTTTCTTTTCTTTCTTTTTTTGGGGGGGGGTGGGACTGGATAGGAGGTAATCATTTTATGATCTATATTGAATCATGACCTTACCTTTTTAACTTAAATTTCTTCGAGTTTCAGTTTTCCCTAAGTTGCAATGGCTCCTAAGAAAAACTTTGCTAACAACCAACTCCCAATATTTCTCTAGTTAATCCTGCAGTCAACTCTACTTCATCATCAAGCTTTGATGCCTTTGCTGATATTGATGGCTTTAGGTGTATATGCTCGTTTTTATCCGGGGCTAGATCGGAGTAGACCCGAAACTGAGCAATTGAAGGCCCAACTCAAGCCCACGTGAATACTCCCTAGAAAACTAAAAGCAGTTATCGGGTCAGTTTTCTTAATTTATCAGGAAGAAACTGTAAAAAAGGTGGGGGTCAGTTTTTGAAGGAACTGAGAAAACGGGGAGGGAAGATTGGAGCTGGGGGAGACCATTTTTTTAAGAGAAATGCACGAAAGATTGTCTGGATTGATTTTTTTTTTGTATTACACGACAGAACAGCAGATAAAAACAGTGAGTGTAAACATCATTTCCTCCCTTGTATTCAAAGATCAAGCAGTGTAACAGGGGTCTTCCCCATTTTCTTCGAAAGCAACAGAATATTTTGAGGAATTCATCATCACACTTTTCGATTTCTAAAGCGTGCGTGTGTGCATGTTTATTTTAAAAGCAAAGATATCAGAAAATTCCTTACATCAGCAGCAAAACATCGAACATAACAAAATCGAAGACAGAACCTGAGGAAAACAGAGGCAAATCCAGCAACAACAAAGCCATCAAAGCATTACTTATTTTTCAGAGGTAAATTGGTTCGATTTTGCTATTTAAATTTTTTAAATTTTCTTGTATACAGATTTATGTAAAATAAATAAAGCAAATAAAGAAAGGAAGCAAGGTAGTTTACCTCGGGGTCGAGCAGTGGAGAGATCGGAGTGTAAGGGTCTCGGGGTTTAGCGTATGTAACACGACGGGGCAGTGGTTAAGGGTGATTCGAAGCCTAGAGAGAGAGTCATCAAAGTTTCGTTGCCATGAGAGTGAGTTTGAGAAGGAGGCTATTGAGGAGAGAATGAGAGGGTTGAGAGGAAGGAGAGAACGGTGCCTCTGTGGGAGCTGAGAAGGTTTGCAAATAAGATTAGGATTACACCAAGGTGTTTTGTCTTAGGTTCAAAACGACGTAGCTTTGGGCGTTATCAAAACGGCGGCGTTTCGAGAGTTAAGAAAATTCAGCGAGTGATCCCTTTAGGTTTCAATAGCTCACAGTCTGGTCCTCAAGTTGATTTCTGGAATTTCCCTTTTTTAACTCTTAAGTTTACGCATATTATGTTTTGGTCTGTGTTATTGTTTTTAGTCTGGTTTTGTCATCATATTTTACACATATTTAATTTCAGTCCCGGATGTTTTGTCATTTAATTTTCGTTAGTTTTAGACATTGGATTTGCAATTTTCTTCCATGTTTCCTTTTAGTCTCACGTTTGTTTATGGTTTATGTTATTTTAATCCTTTTCAATTATTTTGTTTATATTTAAGGTACTAATGTTCGAGTTAATATGATTTAGTCCTTATTTAAATAAGCATGATTATTGTCCGAAATTTGTAGTTTGAGATGTTATATTTTCATTGAATGTTTTTAAGTCACATTTTTGCATTATTACATGATGATATATGCATAGTATATAATTTATAATTAAAACATATGTATATAATTTTTTGTATGCCATGTTGTATGATATTTTTAATTTTGTTTAATTGATTTTGGCATGACATCCTTTTTGCACAATTTGTATGATACCCTTATATGCATAACTCGACTTATAAATACATAATTGGACTAAGGGTAATACCCTTTTAATCTAAAATTGTCTTTTAGTGGCTTGTCTTAACTGATTAGAGGGCCGTTTTGACCATTTTAAATTAAAAGTGTATCCCGAAAGTGAAACCTAAAAAAATCGATTCGTCACCTAAAATTTGGGAACGAAAGAAAAGGAAATGTTCATTTATTTAAATTTTTTGAGAAAATGTTGTTACAACTCATATAAGATCTGGTCTCGATATTTTTAAATAATCAAACATTATTTATCTTTCTAAAACGACTCGGTAATTTTAATTTAATTTATTTGGGTACTTTTGAATGTTTTTTTTAAAATTTGTATATTTTTTTATGGGATCAAAAGCTAAATTAAGTTCGAATTTATAAAGTTCATTGCAAAGACGTTAATTAATCGACTAGGTACCGATTTACGGCGTTGTGGGGGTGCTAATCCTTCTTCACTCGTAATCGACTCTCGAACTCAATTTTGGTAATGCAGACTTTAACTTGTTGTTTTAATTAAAATTAAATTTTATTTAAAATAACAAAAATGTTTTTGGGTGCCCAATCACACCCTAATCAAAGATTGGTGGTGACTCTTCGAACTATATTTTTCTATTGTAAACGAAATCCCAAATTTTTCGAAACGAGAGGTTTTTTAAATTGTATTTGTTTTTAAATTAAAAATCAATTGAAAGAGGTAAATAAAAATTAATGTGGTTTTCAAGATCTCACCTTTAAAGAAAATCGTTTCAACAGCCTAGCGACTCTACTGTGAATCTTTTTTTTAGAGAGTCAGGCCGATAGTCGATTAATTAAGTGTATTTGCAATTGAAGGTTATAAATTCGTTCTAATTTGGTTTATGATCCCTTGTTTGGTTTTAAATGAATTTTTATTTGCATTTTGATGTTTAATTTAATTTACTAATAAATATTTGTACTGATTTGTTTGCTAATGGTTTCAGATTAATTGTGTGAATTTAGGAAATTTTGAGTGTATTTATTGTGTGTTTTTTTTTCTTTTCGCTTTTCCTCACACACTGCACAGTTGCATTTTCATGACATGAGCGAAAACCCGGCTCCGTCCTATTTAAGTAGGAGTGAGAGACTATGCCCTCGTGTGATTTTCACCTCCGCATGGCATAGTGGATCCCTCCTGGAGCTCACGCCTTATGGTCATCGTAATGGTAATCACCTCCGTATAGATTGAGGGTTCGGCAGCCCAAAGGGGCACCGACAAGGATAATTTGAGAACCTATTACTTTAGAACCGAACCCAGCATATAGTGAACATAGAGCCCGAATTTAGGTCGAGCCTAACCCGAACCTTAAGAGTCCCGTGAGGAGGGTACACAAGGAAAAGCTTTTCGAGTCATTTATTTTCATTTTTCGAATAAATGCATGCGAACTAGAAATCATGCGGTTAGGTTTATTTGTCAAGCAAGCATGCGAATTAGATATCATGTGGTTAGTGTTTTAATGTTCAAACAAAGTATAGGGGTAGATATCATGTTGGGTAGGATCTACTAAAGCATGATTGGGTAGCCAATATGTGAGGGTAGGTTTTATTTAATGATTATGATACTTATTATTGATATTATGTACACTAACCCATTTTTGTTCTATGTCTATTTTATTTTGATTTTATTGCATTCGCATCTTCATGTCATCACAAGGTGTTAATTCGCAAGTGATTGACTAATAAGAAGGTTGGTCATAATGAGACAAGAAATTCTCAACCATGTAGTCAAAACCGGGAGATCCAAAGATGTTCGACTGATCATGAAGAATGATATCCGCCGAATGAAGAAATCAAGTTGATTGAAGACTTCCTTTAATGGGGCAAAGGCCAAGATGTTGACTCAAGAGATAGATACAATCATACTAAGGAAAAGAAGACCATTCACAAAGATATGAAGACCACTTCGTATTGAAAGTAAACATAGAGACCTCAAGATTTAATTTAAGGACATCTGGCGTCATCAAAGGTGATAAAATACGGCGACAACTTTGGGTGCAATGTTAGATTCCATGAAGAGTACGGCTCAAGGAAACGAAGGAATGAATAATCACATTTATATTTTGACTACATGGTGTACTGAATTCTTGTTGTCTAAATGAATGTTGTTCTATGGTGGTCACTTTTGGAATTAACACCTTGTGCATTTGCATTTGCATTTGCATTCTTATTAGCTTCAATTTATTTATTTTGCTATTGTTGCTTTTTGTCCTTTTGTTATTTTATTTGTACTAACCTGTTTTTTATGTTGTTTTTCTCTTTGTCCGCATTGCATGATCATGACATATTCAAAAGGTGTTGATTTGTGAGTGATCATCATAGTAAAAGGTTTCATGACAGACAAGGGGTTTCGTGATCAAACAGATTATAACATAGTCAAGAAATGGCATTCTGAGAAAGCTTCGAAAATAGTGGAGAGTTATGCACACAAAGATCATATGAGCACAAGGAGATAAGAGAGATAAAAGAGAAAATGTCCAAGATGATGGATATAATAGATGTTTTGTCCAAAGGAAGAGAGACTTTTACAAAAGAAAAGAAAGAAATCAATGAAAACAATCTCCAGGTGTCAAATACGCAAGGGACTACTTTAGAACCTGTTGATTCTAGTTAGTATGAGAAATCACGCACAATCATTGTTTGTATCAACAAGTTGTTTGGAAATGCCAAGGAAATAGTGGCAACTATAGAAGTTCAGAAGGATAAAAAGAAGACATGCAGTAAGAACTCGTTGGTGTTTGATAGTTTACTTCCAACATCAAGGGAAATAAAACTGGAAACTCCAATTCAACCCAAGTTGAGAGGTGGCTCTCGTTGTGATTCCATCCCAATATAATATAAGAAATTGTATGATGAACTGTTAGAAGCCCAAGAAGTGGCCCCGCATTATGTGAAACCTTTGCAGCCTCCATATCCAAGTTGGTATGACGTCAACGTTCGTTGTGAATATCATGCTGGGATTCAAGGACATTCTATTGAGAATTGTTCTACCTTCAGACGTCGAGTCTAACTTCTACTAGATCATGGAGTATTGGAGTTTGAATTGAAAAGACAACCTAGTTTGGTAACAGATTATCTTGTT